TGATGAACCGATTACATAATTCATGATAATCATAGATATTAAACAGCTATGAAAAATCCACAAGTCACGCCTGTACTATCATCGATAAAACATCTACATTTGATAAATTAGCAAAACAATAAACAAGAATACATTCATTATTACTATTAAAAATCTACTCTGTAAACAAACTGTAAACATCATGAAAAGTAAACAACAGAAATTAATACCAGGATATTATAACCAATTATCATTTTCCATTGATTTTTTTAGCTACTTCTGGATATCTCATTAATCTGTAATTTTTTTGAATATATTCATGAACCATATTACTATCATAAATATAAGCAGTTTCCAAACTCATCCATGCTGTTGTATTTTTGTTCATTACTACCAAGAATTCTAATCCTACTGATGTTATAATGTCGTCTACAATTCTTGGTGGGACTTGGTTTTTACTACTCATATTTTAAACGATTGTTTGGTTTGTATAGTAATGAAAAAATTGCAGAAATGGATTTGACCGAGTTTATATATATATATATATATATATATATACTTGAAATATCTGGGGATTTATTGTTTTTTGTTATATATCATACTTTTAATTTGGGGTATATTAAATCATTGAAACTAAAGTATTAAGTTCTTTAATTTATTGACAAGTTTATTTAAAAAGTTTTATTCAATCCAGACATCTAAGACATATAATATCACCTTAATAAGTTTAATTAAGTCTGATATGCATTTCAATAATCAATGACATCATCATGAATAGAACTGAAAGTCATATATATCAATACGAAGTAAAAAAATAGATAGTAGTATTTCAGTTTCCACTCACTGTGATATAACCCAAAAAAATGAAAAATTTGAAAAATATCTACTATAATTTAATGGATTATACTAGACAGATCTCCTAGTCAGAAACAAGCTCTTTATAGTATTCACAATATATAAAATTCTTCGTCATTACTATCGTCTCAAAGTATTTACTCTCTAAACAATTTGTACACAATTATATCACATATAATTATACTTAGTTACTTCTAGTGAGAGCGTCTATTATGAATATTGGGTGCTATATTTCTTAATACATTAGGGTTTTGCCTGAAATATTGACTAGCAGCAGCAGAATCAAATCTATTTGCCATTTGTATAGTTACCCATAATGGATCAGAATTAGCTGTTGTCATTAATAACATTAATCCTTCTTCTGTAAATTTATGACTGATTACTCTTATTTGAAAATGACGTTTTGCAGACATGGTTTTTGCAATTATTGTTGACTTCAAAAATTATCTTGAAGATTTAGAAATGATCAAGCTTATAAATATTGGCAAATACAAAATAAAATGTAAATTAAAACTTTTGGTCCTTTGTTATAGCTCATATTATTGAATATAGTTTAACTAAACTGTGGATTTTGTCTTCAATCAATACAGAACTTTTCATTGAGTATTTGAAGTTAGTTATGAGAAGTAACATTACTTTAATCTTGTCTTCTTATGTCATATATATTAATTGTAACTTTAGTATTGTATGAATGGCTTGAGGTTATTTGATATCTAATATCATTAAAAGTAAACCTTTTCAAAGTAAGTTAATTCTCTTCAGGACCGATTACGTAATCAGACAGTTCTTGTCGGAGGTACATTTTCACCAAAAGCTTAATCTCGTGACAAAATAGGCACATAACGATGCCAGCTGAAAGTAAATATACCAGTATAAGACCCTATAAGAATAATTTGTCATCATTCAAAAAAAATCCAATCTACTATGAGCTGCTAACATCATATAGTTGAGTTGTAATCTATCATTGTAATTATCCTTCCGTTGGTGCTTAAAGTTCTAGTCAATCAGAGACATTGAAATAAAGTATTTTACAGTTTCTAACGGACATTCATCGATATAAACTTAAAAAGTAGAACGTACTGTGAAATCTTTAAAATCTACTCCAATTTATTTTATATCAATGGTAATAGTCCAAAGAGCATATCAGTTTGTTCTGGTAAATTCAACGGGAATTGGAAATGGCATTAGTGTCACTATCTACCACATATTTTGTTTTTGCAACTAGTGTAATTACATATATATTTGCAGTAGATATTATTGACAACTAAATTTAAAGCATACTTATCTTTTACGACTTTTCTTATCTTCCTTCTCATCATATACATTATTATATAAAAACCAATCCACCATAGTTTGATCCATTTTAGCAACGTCATCCATCGGTATCCATCTTTCAACGAAATCACTCATCAATACTAAAAGCATCGGACCTGCTTTTGTCACTTTATATGTTGAGATTCTAATTGGATGTCTCTTTTTCGACAGCATATATTCTATGATGTTATACTAATATCATTAATTATCAGAAACATTGAAACGGAATTATCATGTTTTATATGGATTTTATTATCATTCGTCGTAATACTTGTTATTCTTCATGTTATGGATGTGAGGTACAGCAATTATTAAAGTAAAGTTAGATATATGACGATGAAGCTACTACTTTGTGGAATGTTTTGCTCACGAGAAGTTGTTTCGTCGTGATGATACCATCTATAGTAATTAGTTCATATTCAATGGTATATATAATAACTAAACTACCGTTAAATCATCGTCTTTCCAAGGTGGTTTCCGTTTAATGTCTGTGATGTTTAACAAAGATCATAAAAAGGAAAACATCACTATTATTAAAAGGTATAAACTCTTTAATTAACTAAATCAATTGTCATTTACATGTTCACGACTTATCTATTAACCACTCGTTTAGTTTTTTTTTTAACTCTTAGGTCTATGTTTCATGTGGTATTCATGTACACCTGGATTTTTCTTCAAAAATTCATTTACCAAAGATGCATCCATACTGGCTATAACATCTAATGAGAACCAAGATTCAACTAAATTATTCATTAATACCAAAACAAATATTCCAGAACTGGTTTTAGTATATGTTGTTATTTTAAGTGGGAAAGTATCCTCCAATGGCATATTGCTTGGCTGAATCAATTAATCTAATGAACGTTCAAAAGTAAAAATATGAATAAAATCTTTCATGATATATATATATATAAAACTTATGAATATTGATATTGGTGTTGTGATTGATATTCTTTCTTTCACTCATAAAACTAAAGTTAAAAGCTGCATGACGATAAAGTTACTTTTCAGTCAAAACTTTCCATTCACTATAAATACTCATATGATGTATTACTCAGGTTACTTTATATACCCTCTATGATAGTTGTCACACTAATAGTCTGCTTATTGATATGTCACTTAGCTATAATTAAGCAATATTTCCTCCTTAATCTCAATTATAACCATATAAAAGTATAAAGAATTCAATTCGTAAAACTTACAATGCCAGATTGGGTATAATTAAACAATCTACATATAATGGTTAAACACTAGTAACAACACTTAAAATTATTTCATTAATTATATAAACCTACTCACTCAATATAATATTAGGGGCACACATCACACTACAAAGTCCATTACCAGACCATCGATTATCACTTTTTGTTACTTTGCTTACTTTTATTCTTCTTATAATGCTCGTCCGCAACAGGGTTTCGCCATAAAAATTCTTGAACCAATCCGGAGTCAATAGTAGCTAATTCACTCAAATCGAACTTAGATTCATTAAAGTTACTCATTAATACTGCAACTTCAACACCTTTATCGGTAAGTTTATATTCTCTTATTCTCAATGGAATGGGATATTTTGGTGGCATGTCAAATGATTTATTGATTGATATACTGAAAAAGAAAAATAAACTACTAGAAAAACAAGGATCTATCGTGGTCAATATATATATATAATACCCCCGTGTGTGTTGTTATAGATCATTAAATTGATGTGCGTTATAACATTCATTAAAGTTATAAGCTCTATGACGACGAAGTTACTTTTTTAAACAAAGTTTTATTCCACAAATTGCAGTTTAGTTCCACAACTTATTATTAGTTTCAGTATTATAAATACTATATAAGATAGTTATCATTATCAATAAAATAACTGTTATCGATAATAAGTTGAAAAATCAACTGAAGTATATAAACTTTGAAATAATATAATTCGTAAAATTTACATTATCAAAAGTGAACATTAAACAGTCAATGCATAAGGGATACCATGTTGATACTAGCCTACTAGTTATACGAATATACTTGCTTCAAAGAAGAATTCACTTTAGAACCATCAATCATCATTTTCTTTTAGTATGGTGAATACCTAGTTTTCTTATGATATTCAATAAGATCAGGGTAATCTCTTGAAAACTCCGCCACTAATTTTGAATCTATAGCTTCCAAAGTCTCTAGTAATAACCACCATTCTCTCGAGTCTTTCATTAATACTCGAACATATATACCTCCACTAGTCTTTGAATAGGATGTTATTTTCACAGGAATACAATTATTTAATGACATGAAATGTTTTGCTGATTGATATACTCAGAAAGACCTGAAAAATCTAGAAAACTAGCTTGTATTATATACGAAAAAACAGTACCATTATTGTTATATATCATACTAAGTGTGGGATTAATAACAGTTATTAAAGTTATAATCACCATGACGATAAAATAATTACCTGGTGGAAAGTTCTATTCCCATATCTATTTGTACTATCGTAGGTATACTTCCTATCAAAATTGTCACATCAATTAATCACCAATGCATAAAACTCAGGTTTTATGTATTACTACTGAGCTTAGAATAATTACACTTCATGATTCACAATCACCTTAGGTTGTTAAAAGTCGTATAACAATTGTTGGTAAACCACGTGACTGATGATCACGCTATGCAGCAATGAAATTTTTCTTCATTTCCTCTTCATCTAACTACGAAAAAAAAAAAAAAAACAATCAACAAAACTGCTCTTCGAATTTTTTTTTTTTTTCCTTTTCCTGATTTTTCAAATTCATTTCCATTTCATTCAACTTACAAACTAATCAGTGGTTTCAACAAATTATCTATATTGGAAAAAAGATTGTTTGAAAATGTCTCAACAAAACAGTTTAGAAACAATTCCAACAATATTGGAACAATCTTTACATCCCCAATTCTCAAATCAAGCTGATAAAACTTTAAAATCAATTGAGAATGAACCGGGTTTCAGTATAAACTTATTACATGTGATTGCATCAACTAATTTACAGCAATCTGTTAGATTGGCTGGAGCATTATATTTTAAAAACTTAATTAAACGAAAATGGTTAAGTGCAGATGGAGTCAACTATTTATTACCATTAGATGATGTAAACAAAATCAAATCAGAAATTTTAGATATTATGATTCAATTACCAAATCAATTACAAGTTCAAATTGGTGAAGCTATTACTTTAATTGCTGAGCTGGATTTCCCTCATAATTGGCCAAATTTAATTGATAATTTAGTTACTAAATTATCTTTAACTGATTTTGTAAACAATAAAGCTATTTTATTGGTTTCACATCTGATTTTTAAAAAATGGCGTCCATTATTTCGTTCTGATGAATTGTTTTTGGAAATTAAATTAGTATTGGAGAAATTTGTTGAACCATTTTTGAAATTATTTACTGAATTGGATGGTTTAATCGAGAAATCTGGCGAGAATGAAGCCCAATTAACCATCTATTTTGAGAATTTATTATTATTAATGCAAATTTATTATGATTTTAATTGTCAAGATATTCCTGAATTTTTTGAAGATCATATGAATGAATTAATGAGTATTGTTCATAAATATTTAGTTTATGAAAACCCATTGTTGAAAAAATCCGATGAAGATGAAGAAATCAATGTTTTAATTAAAGTTAAAACTTCCATTGTTGAATTATTAAGTCTTTATGTAACAAGATATGCCGATATTTTCCAACCTTTAATTCAAACATTTATCACATCAGTTTGGGAATTGGTTAACAATTATGTTACTAAACAACCTAAATATGATTTATTAGTGGTCAAATCATTGCAATTTTTAACTTCGGTTATCAAGATTCCAGAATATCAATCCCTTTTCCAACAAGAAAATTCCATTAATGAAATTATAGAAAAAATCATATTGCCAAATATTTATTTCCGAGAAAATGATGAAGAAACATTTGAAGATGAACCAATTGTTTATGTTCGTTCTGATTTGGAAGGGTCTGATTTTGACTCAAGAAGAAAAAGTGCCACTGATTTCTTGCGTGAATTGAAGGAATTAAATAGTGAATTACTTACCAATGTGGTTATGAAATATGTGAATCAATTTTTAAGTCTTTCAGGAAATGATTGGAGAAATAAAGATACGGCAATTTATTTGTTTAGTTCATTAGCCACCAAAGGTAGTGTAACTAATATTGGTGTTACCAGCACTAATGTATTGGTTGATGTTGTCAAGTTCTTTTCTGACAATATTGCTAGTGATTTAGATTCAACTGCCAGTGTCAATCCAATATTACAAGTTGATGCTATTAAGTATATCTACATTTTCAGAAACCAATTAACTAAGGAACAATTATTGATGACTATACCAAGATTGATTAGTCATCTTAATGTTAAATCAAACCCAGTGGTTTACACTTATTCAGCAATCACCATAGAGAAATTATTATCCATGACCAACTTTAACCAAGATCATGCTCCAGTTTTCAATAAACATGATATTCAACCATTTATCACTGAATTAATTACCAATTTGTTCAACCTTATATTAATGAACAACTCATCTCCAGAGAAGTTAGCTGAAAATGAATTCTTAATGAAAGGTATCATGAGAGTTTTGAACACTAGTGAAGATATATTACAAGATAGATTACCAATTATTGAACAATTGTTATCCATTTTGAAAATTACTGCTAAAAATCCATCAAATCCTAAATTTTCCCATTATATTTTTGAAAGTTTGGGTTTGTTAATCAAATTCGGTATTAATGATAATAATGCTGACCAATATATACAATCCATCATTCCTGCATTATTGGACATTTTAAGTGAAGATGTTCAAGAATTTGTACCATATACATTCCAAATTTTGGCATTTTTGTTAGAAAGTTATCCAAAACAACAAGGATTACCAGAAACGTACAAGAATTTGATTCAACCATTGTTATCACCATCAGTATGGCAATTTAGAGGTAATATTCCTGGTATAACTAGATTATTGATTGCTATTTTGGAACATGATCCAAGTACATTTGTAAGTGGAGGTGTACAAACATTGACTCCATTGTTGGGTGTTTTCCAAAATTTGTTGGCTAGTAAAGTTAATGATGGATATGGGTTTGATTTAGTACAATCCATTATGTTGAATATTCCAATGCAATCTTTGCAACCATTTTTGTCCAATATTGCCAGATTGATGTTGACAAGATTACAAAAATCAAGAACTGAAAAATATGTCAAGAGATTTATTGTATTTTTAAGTATTTTGGCTAGTGTTTCCTTAAGTTCCGATATCAAAACTGTTAATCAGAATATCTTGAATGGTGATTTTGTTATTAATTTCTTGGAATCTGTTCAACAAGGTCTTTTCCAACAAATCTTGACATCGTTCATCTTACCTACATCGTCAACTTTGGCTAATTTACAAGATAAAAAGATTGTCAATGTTGGTATTTCTCAGTTGTTGGTTTCTTCATTATACACTGCTCAAGTGCCTACAATTGAAGTGTTGGCAAAGAACTTGAAATCATATGAAGGTATATCTAAAAGCATAGGTGGAACTACTGCCGTCGGTGGTGGTAATGGTATTGCTCCAATTATTTCAAATCAACCATTGAATGAATTAGATATAGAATTAAATGCATTTGGATCACATTTTTCAAGAATTGTATCAATAACTAATTCAGCATTTGATCCATTAAGTAATATCAAGAATAATGATTTTGAATCTATTAAATCAGTAATTTTAACCAACATTAAAAAGGTGGATATGAATTATTTACATCAATTGAGTCCTGAAACTCAGGAAATATTGAAGAATTTGGGTTTTTAAAAAGTATATAGAATACATATGTGAAGTCATGTTATAATACACACACAAGGTTTTTGTTTGTCTTTATATATATTAATTTAGTAAATAACAACACATAACGTAATCTAACAAGTGAAATAACCTATTGATACATATAGATATCACAATCACTCTAGGTTATATAACAATTTTTTAAAAACATAAACTAGTATTAAATCCAAATTTCCATTTTTCTTTTTCTTTTTTTTTTTTTTAATTGCAACTTTTCAGTAATTAGTTAAAACAAAAGATATTCAATATCTATTCTCTAATATATACAACACGTCTCATCATACTTTCCATTTTATTATTTTTATCATTATTATTAATAATGTCAATTATACAGCATCCACTGTCAAATTTGGTTCAGTTTTCAATTTAACTTCAGAATTCTCCTTTCCTTCTTCATTCATTCCATTACTAATTATTTTCTCCAATTCTTTGGTGGTAGTCGGGGTATTATTCTTACTACTATCCTCATTAGTATTATTGACTTCATCTTTTTTATCCTTCTCTGGTTCTACTTTATGTTGATCATTTGAATCATTCTCAATTTTAATGCCACTTTCAGCTTGTTGTTGTTCTTTTTTAGATTTTTCCAATTCTGCTATTTCTGCAGCAGTTAAAAATCTACCCCCTTGACCTCTTGGTCTTCTCATTGCATGTTTATGTCTACTTTCATGTAAATAAGGTTTTCTAGTTCTTGCAATTTTTAAATTTTCTTCTAATTTAGCTCTTGCTATTCTTCTTTTTAAAATTCGATGATATTGTTTTGCATTAACATAAAATGGTTGTTCTGTCCCTGTATTATCCTCCTCTTCTTCTATTTGTTGTTGCTGCTGTTGTTGTTGTTCATATCCTTCGTGTTGTTGAAATTCTTGATCAACTTCATAAGTATACGTAGATGTAGGTGAGTCTTGATAATATTGATTATTATTGTTATGAACTGTGGTTGGAGTATTGGTGGCTGATGTGTTGGATACAGATTCTTCATAATAAGAAGCTGATGTTGGATTTTCTAGTGATGTCATGACTATTTCTATAGTATATTAATTCAAATGATTGCAAAAATTAACCCAAGTTATTTATTGTCCCTTTCAATACGATTTATTGATTTCTAGTCTCTTGTTTGTTGTTTCCAAAAGTTCTTTTTGGCTAAGAATAGGTATCAGATATATAATGATTGAATATGTTTATATAACTATCCAAATATTCAAGGTATACCTCTGTTTGACAAAAAATGAATGTGAAAATGAAAAATGAAAAAAAAAAAGAAGAAGGTAACTCTGTATGTTTTCCTTTTCTCCTTATTCCCTTAATTTTTTTTTTCTTTATTTCCTTAGCAGAAGAAATTTTTTGTTGAATTTTTTTTTTTTATTGCGAAATCGGAGTTTGACTTCTTCTGCACGACTGCGGGTCTGGCTGTCTCGCACGTGCTAGACAACCACGTGGTTATAATGTGATCAGAAGCACACTATACTAAAAGAAACACTATCATTACTTTTATTAAAACTTATCTATAAAGAAAATACCCAAAACTCAATTCATAATAATTAGACACTTGTTATTTTCTTATCTCTAGCAATACTCTCTTATTTTTCTCTATTCATTATATTCTTCGTAGCATCAGGATACTCTAAACTTGGATTAAGATTAATAAACGAATCTAGATTTGGTACTGTAGGAGCCACACTCGATGATGCTACCAGGGAATACTCTTGAACAGAAGATGTTATCACAGGTATAGAAGCACTGGAATTATTTTCAATTTCAACACAGTCCTCTTGCATGGCAATTCTTTTCAAATAATAATTTGATTTCTTATGAGAACTGTTAACAGAAGTACCTCTTGACATGGATATTGCACCATGGTTCTGTTCATCTGATGAATATTGTGAACTATCTGGTTCAACCAATACCTCTCTGATGTTTGAGATTGAAACAACACCAGGAGTAATTTGTGTGTATGGTGTAATCACGTTCATTGGATTGGAACTACTGGTAGATAGTGGCAAGTTGTCTCCTTGAAAAGTAGTTATATGCATAGTGGCTATCAGATTGATATCGTTATTTGTTTGAAATTCATCATTAACAATAGGCTTTGCTATGCTCTCATTAGTTATAGTACCAACACTATTGACTCTTTTCTTTCTCACCTTAGTTACTTTTGACTGATGATTGATGGGTAGAATATTATTCGACTGCTTGGTTTTCTGTTTCGATGATAGATTGGTATTGGTTGCCAATGATGGCCATTCACATTCCAATTTCAATCTCACACAGGTATTACATTTTGGTTTTGTTTCATCACACTTTTTCTTTCTTCTTCGACAAGTCAAACAACCAGTCTTTGATCTTATTTTCTTTGTAGTGTTATTCATCAGTAATCAAATACTCTTGTTACCTCCAGTGTACCAGTATTGAAAATTTTTCCTTTTTTAGATTGCAATTAGTCAAATTGAAATTGTTGGAATTTTTTTTTTTTCAGTTTTTTTTTTTTGTGTTTGGGTGAAAGAATTAGGTTAGTCATTCCCAATTGGGCAATATCTCGTAAGCGCGCATAGGGGAATACACACGAGATAAAACAATAAGAGAGCAAAAAAAAAGGAGAAAACTAACCTTGGACCAATAAGAATGCTTGGAATTCTTACATTTAGTTAATCTTATCTTGTTACAAACCTTCGAGAGATTGTCATTATTTGCGCTTTAGGAGAAGATTTGCATATATCATCGTGGCTCATTTAGTTGTTTCAATTTCGTTAAAAATCTCAACTAAAAAATCACATCTTCTTAAAATTTCTTGCCCCATAATTACATAATTATTTCAAGTGTGCTCAAAAAAAAGGTAATACTCATGAACAACTTATCCCACCCATCTTTTATTGATTATACTGAGTATTTTAATATTTTTTAGTAACATTTAGTATATATATCACGTGACCAATTGTCGTGTCCCTGAGTCCAGGGTAAAAAAGGTCGTGTTGAAATTTTTTTTTTCTTTTTCGGTGTAAAGACGACGTGGTGTTCAATAACATTGACTGTATTGACATACTAATTAACTTGATCAATTAGAAGCAACCATGAATGATACGAGTCGTCGAAGTTCACAAGTATCATTTAATGATGCAGAATTAGACTCATTCACCAATGTCGATGATATTTTCAAAAAACTAAACATATCTCAAATACAACAATTGACAAAGAAATATAAATCAGTTATTGATTCGACTAAAAATGATTTACATAATCTTGTTGGTAGTAAATATCGTGATTTGATCAAAATTGCTGAAGATATAGATGATATTTACCAAACAAGTAACGACATTGATTCAAGGATTCAACAATTATCCTATAAACCAACGAAATTTGGGTCAATTTATCTGGATAACTATGGAAAATTTGATTCTTATTGCAGAAAGCAAAATACTTTAACTACTAAAAAGGAAACAAGAGCAATTGTTGTTAGAAATGTTATAAATAAGAAATTAAATAAATTGGATCAAAAAATTAGACTGGGAAGTTCACCATTAGTTCATACTTCAAATTTTATCTACTACTCAAAAGTTTACTACACTATTGAAACGTTGTTTAAGGATATAATTGAAAAAGACGAAAGTATACGTCTGTATTTTTTCCAATTAAAGAGCAATCTTAATGATTATTTAGAATTGGAATTGTCAAGATACAATTTGCCAGAATCAATTGTTCATGCCAATGATAAATTTAGACCAAGCCAACGTTTGAATACAAATGATCTTGTTATGAATAATTCTCAGATATTGTTACAAGATGATTTTGATATTGATTATGAAGTCGATGATGATGAATTAGATGATGGAAATGATGACGATAAAGAAGCAAACAATGCATTTGAAGTTGACGAAATTGTGAATTCTAAGCTCGAGTCATATGATAAAAATACCCTGGTTATATGTAATTATTTGATCAGTTATACTATCTTAAATGGAGGAAAAGCCCCGGTTGCATCAAAATTTATTGAATTGAGAATGGCGTATATCGATAGTTTGTTGAATGATCTTCCAACCAAATCTCCATTAGACCAAGTCAATTTCTATCAGATATTTAAATTCTTAGAGCATACATGCAATTATGTGGATAGCTATTTTGAAAAGACCTCTAGTGATTATCATAGAATTTTAACTCACGTTACTAAACCATGGAATGCAACTACATTGATTGGCCATAAAGTCTGGATCGAAGATGAATTGATCCAATTTGCAGCTGATTCCACAACTACTTTCGATCGTGCAACCAAATTCACAGAACTCATTAAATTAGTGTTTGATTTCACTATCAAAAGCTTACCTCAAGATAATATCAAGTTTGAGAATTTAACATTGACTGTGTTTGTTTTCCATAACTTCCTTGTTAGTTTAAAAAGATTGCAAGATTCAGTAGAACTTTCTGGATTAGATTCCAAGTTTATTGCAGTGATGTCCAAGACCAATTTGTTAAATGACTTGTTAGTTAAAGTAGGTTCGTTCATAAATTCATCTTACGTGAAACACGCAACTAGGTTGACTTTAGGGAATGAAAAAAGTATAGCACAACTAATGGAACAAACATTGCAATCAGATTTAAATCAAATTTCGTCTTATCAGTTATTTACTCCTGATTTGGTCAATTTGATGGATGTCAACACTGAAAGGTATATTCAAATCTTGTCGGGTGAAAATCCTGTTCAAGATGGTAGCAATGCTCTTGTTGAATTAACTGGATGGTTTAAAGAGTATGAAAAGTATAATAGAATCGTTAAGATTGAAACTGAAGATTCAAGAGGTAGCAAATTAGATGCATTCAAATGTGTTTCTCATTTGCATACTTATCTTCAAAATGTTTCATGGGGAGATTTCAAAGTAGAAGAATTTGACAATGAATTTAGAAAATTATCAACTACAATGAATGATTTATTCTGGGATCAAATATCTAAATTCCTTGAATTTATTTCCAAAGTATCTGAATCTGTTACGACTACCGATAAGATTGTTTATATAATTGGTATAACCAATCAATTGAAAGAAAAGATCTCCACCATGGAATCCACAGACACTTTTAAATCAACAAATGAATCCATTGATAACTTAAGCATTCAATTATTCAAGAGATTAATTAATGATATTCCAAATGAAGAGATACTCAAACTATTGGAAAACTCAATAATTGAAAGTATTGAACTTGAAGGTAATGATATTCCAACTCGACCAAATTTAAAACTAACAGCAATGATTTATAAATTAGCTAATGAATATTTAAAAGTTTCTGAAATTTCAAACAATTTGGATATTTTCCTGAATTCCAAAATTAGTCGTTGTTTTGTTGATACTAAGAATAATTGGTTTAAGGATGAATTGATTGGGAAGAAGTTTATCATGAACTTGGAGACGACTCTTGATGCAAAGAAGGAGAAGAATCATGATTTAGAAAGTGGCAAGGTAGATGATTCTAATGAAGAGGAAGTCAAGGATGTACCCGAGCAAGAAGCAGAGAAAGATTCCAAAGAAAATTCAGAAGAAGACTCCAAAGTCGAGTCTGAAGAACCAAAAGAGGATGTTAATGGATCAGAATCTGAATTGAAAGACGAAGAGAAGAACGATGAACAAGAATCACAACCAGATGATGATATTAAACCAAAAGGTGACAATTCTGAGGTCATCAATGGATCTAGTACTATTTCCAAAACTCAAGCCCTTGCGATCTTGGCTAATTACACATTCCTTCTACATTTCTTCACGTCAAAAGTTGAATTGGAAGACACCAATACTATTATTGAATTGATAAAACAACATTATAATGGTGACATTGAGAAATCTACATTAACCATTGTTGTTGATGGGGTTGCTTCATTTTATAGATCACATAAAAACATCTATTTACCATTACTGGTATTAGAATAAATAGTCTATATAAAACACACACTTTCATTCATTAATACAAATAAATTTTAGATCCTTCTTTGGTTAATTCCTTTAATGCTTCAAAAGTTTCTTTAATATCCCAGATATTTTGTTTCTTAGTATCTAGATAAGAATTATCAACAATGACAATTTTGATTTCATCTTTAGATAATTCAGCATCTTGACTATTTAATACTTTAACCAATCTACCAGGGGTACAACACAACACTCTAGATCTAGTACTTTTAACCAATTTCAAATCAACATGCAATTTATTCTTATTGATTAATTTAATAGATGATCCTGATAAATCTTTAGTTGCTCTATGAATATCACATGCTCTAATTGCAGACATTGAAACAACAGCAATGAATTTTCTTTCTTCTTCTGGTTTATCATCATCTTGTTTTGAAACCTCTTCTTCGTTATTCTTTTTCTTTTTATCCTTTTTATTCTTCTTCTTATCCTTCTTATTCATCCCTTTAGGTAACATATTTTTAAATTTCAAATTAATATATTTAGATAAATTATCTAAATTTCTAGTTTCTTTAAAATCTGAAGTAGATCTTATCTCATTTTTATTAAAATATAATTCAGTTAATTCTAAAGCTGATAAATTTGGATTTTTCCTACGAATTTTATTATTAATATATTCTGCAATAACTTCTGTATTATCTTCATTTGATAAATTCTTTTTAGATTCAATATCTAATTCCATCTTCATTCTTTTCTTATCTTTAAATGAATTAACAGTAGTTGAATTCTTACGTTTACGTGAACTCATCTTTTCCTCCTCTTCATCTTCTTTTTCATCATTTGAATTATCATTGGCTTCAGTTACTGGGAAAGTGGATTCTTCAGTATCAGAAAATGCAACATCATATTCTAATCCATCATCTAGATCATCGGCTATTGGTTGTGCTGGGGCCATCTTTAGTTGTATTGTACTTTATGAGATGAGAGATGAGGTTTGAAATAAATTTTAGAATTTTTTTTTTTTTTTTTATTTTTCAGTTCATACATTGGATATTAATCTTACAGTGATAGCAATGGTACATCCAGTAAAAGTATTCTCTAATAATATGATAATAAACATTGCCTCTAAAAACCATATAGCTGATATATATTATTCGAGCCCTAGTCAGTCTGTCTTGATATAGAATAATTTTATTTACAAGTCACGTGACTAGATCACGTTCAGATTATCACCGATATGAAAGAAAAAAAAATTGCCAATCTATGAGATGACAAAATTTTTCATTACTAATGCCATCATAGGATCCAGTAACAACCATGCTATCCAGAAGAATAAACCATAGATACCTACGAAAGGTAACTTATCAACAAACACGTTCAATCATATTGAATGCAGATTTGCAGAAAAAGCTAGATGAATCTGAATTTCATCCCGTTATTGTAGTTGGAGGAGGACATGCTGGTTGTGAAGCTGCCACTGGATCAGCTAGATCACAAACTCCAACTACTTTAATTACTCCATATATAAATAAAATTGGAACAGCTTCATGTAATCCATCAATGGGTGGAGTTGGAAAAGGGACTTTATTAAGAGAAGTTGATGCGTTAGATGGGGTTAGTGCAAGAATTACTGATAAAGCAGGTATTCATTTTAGAATTTTGAATGCTTCTAGAGGTGCAGCTGTTCATGGACCTAGAGCTCAAATCGATAGAAAAATATACCTTGAGGAAATGCAAAAGGAAATTTTGAATTATCCAAATTTGAAAGTACTTGAAGCACAAGTTGAAGACATCATTATTGAACCAAAATTAAACAATGAAGGGGATTATGCTGGAAGAACATTTGGTATTGTCAAAGGTGTTATTTTACTGGATGGCAGAGTACTTAAAAGTGAAAAAGTCGTTGTAACTACAGGTACTTTTCTTGGAGGTGAAATTCATATTGGATTAAAAGCATATCCTTCAGGTAGAATTGGAGAGGAAGCCACTTTTGGATTATCCAAAACTTTGCGTGATGCTGGGTTTAGATTAGGAAGATTAAAAACAGGAACCCCACCAAGATTATCAGCAAAGACCATTAATTTTAAAGGATTAATTGAACAACCCTCCGATTTCCCACCACAACCAATGTCATATATGAATGATAAAGTCGCACTAGAAGATCAATTAGTTAAATGTTACCAAACTAAAACCAACCCAGAATTTCATAAAATTATTGCTGATAATTTAGATAAGTCCATTCATATCAGAGAAACTGTTAAAGGTCCAAGATATTGTCCAAGTATTGAATCAAAAGTTATTAAATTTCCTCACAAAGATTTCCATTATGTTTGGTTAGAACCAGAAGGATTAGATACTGATTTGATTTATCCAAATGGTATTTCATGTACCATGCCAGAAGAAATTCAAGAAAAGTTAGTTAGATTAATGCCTGGTTGTGAAAATGTCACCATGACTCAGCCTGGTTATGGTGTGGAATATGATTTCATCGATCCGCGTGAATTGAAAATGACTTTAGAAACTAAATTAGTTGACGGGTTATTCCTTGCAGGTCAAATTAATGGTACAACAGGTTATGAAGAAGCCGCAGCTCAAGGTTGTGTAGCTGGTATTAATGCTGGTTTATCTTACATGAAGAAACCCGCTTTAGATTTAAGGCGTCCTGATGGTTTAATGGCCATCATGATTGACGATTTGATTACCAAAGGGGTTGAAGAGCCTTATAGAATGTTTACTTCTCGTTCTGAATTTCGATTCTCGATTCGTTCAGATAATGCAGATTTTAGATTAACTGAAAGAGGTTACCAATTAGGAGTTGTTGGAGAAGACAGATATAAACATTACAAAGAAGAAAGCAATCAATTCGAGGATATTAAAAATACTTTAAGTGAATTGAAACTAATTGGAAGATACTGGGCACCAGCTTTAGAAGGCGTGACTTATGATGCAAGAGATGATGTCAAAGTCTCGGGTTGGAAATTACTAGCATACCCAGGAATGCTGATCAACTGTTTATTACCACACATGTCTAAATTTATGAACAAAGTCCCTAATTCATTTGATAATATTTCAGAAAGATTAAGAAACAAAATCGATGTTGAAAGTGATTATGAACCTTTTAGAACTAGAGAAAGAAGAAACATTGAAAAATTCGAAGATTATGATAAATTCATCTTGCCTCAAAATTTCAACTATACAAATACTGGTAACTTGAAAATCTCACACGAAGTTTGTTCCATTTTAAATGTAATTCAACCTTCAACTTTAGGTCAAGCAATGAAACTTAGAGGTGTTACACCCACTGCCATTATGGAATTACGAAAAATAGCTAAATTGGGAACTTCTTCAAATAAAGAAATTGCAACATCTTAATGTCACGCAAACTTGTAAATAGTATACATATATATATATATATATAAACATTCGAATTATTTATTCAACGAAACAGAGTCATACAAATCGTTATCCAATGCAATTAAATCCTCAAGCGGTAAAAATCTTTGTGCCAACACTGAGATCTGATCTATTTCTTGATCTGAAGTGTCCGATTTACCAGTAAATTTAGTTCGTTGTAAATATAGCAACACATCATTCATATCGACTGTATTTGAACCTCTGTGATGTGCATAACTCTTTAAATCATCCATTAGATTATCAAGAAATTCATTTGATTTGTCTTGAATAGACAGTATGATATCTTTGGAAAAGGCTTTAGGTTTTCTGGTTTTCTTTTTTGGTGGCATGTCACTTTCAAAAAAATTTTGTGCTTGAATAGATTTAACAATATATGATACATCACGAAAATTCACATCTAAACCCGAAGGAACGGATGTCATCTTGCGTTTTTTAGGAAGCATGCGTTCTGATGATAGGAATTCTGGTTTTTCATCTTGTTGGGAGGTATTTACGTTGATAATTTCATTAAAGATAGATTCATTAACATCATCATCCCCTTCGTCGTCAAGAACAAACTCTTCTTGTATTATTTCATCATTTTCTTGTTCTACGTCATCACGGACAAACAAATCAGCAGAACTATCTGAATCTGCTGGCAATATTTGCTCATTTGAGGATACTAAATGTGAAGGTGTGGAAACATCTGGTGTTTGCCTTGAATCATCATTTACCGCAGCAATTTCTTCAGGTGTGATGTTGCTATCTTCCATATTGTGGACGCTATTGATTTTCGATTCACTTGTTGAATCATCCTCGTTAACAGGAGCGATGACTTCTGCTTCTTCTTGAAACTGTTCTGATATTTCATCATCAACAATATGTTCAGATTCAAGTTCCGGAACTTCCCAATTGGCTCTATCATCCAAGACTTCATTCTTTGTTTCAAATTCATCATCTGCAAACTGCCCTTCTTGTATAGTATTCTCAATACTAGGTTCTAAAGTCAGCAGTATTTTGTTACTATACCCTAGAGTGTTTTCCTTTTCAGGTTTTGTCCATGCTGGGAACAACTGATTGTCAATTTGTGAATCACTTTGAATTGTGAACTGATCAATTGGTCTGTCACTGGCAGTTGGGTCTGTTTGATGTATTTTCTCTTCTTTAACGGTTACAACTTCTTCTTTAATTTGTTGTTCCTCCTCTTTGATGCTCGCATCTTTTTCTTTAACCTCCACATAATTATGCTTAACTTCTATTTCTTGTTTTATTGGCACATTTCCGTCTTCATCAAAACTCCCCAAGAATGAACTCTGTTTTTGCTTTGACAACAATATCTTTTGCAAAAATGATAACGGTCTTGGTTTCACTATAGGTATTTCAATAGGTGAAGATACATCACTATTCTCCGGTGTGTGCTCCGTTTCTTCTTCTATTGACATGTCACCCTCATTTTCACTAGCTTCTCTTTGAGGTGACGCTAGTAATTGTTCATAATCATCCGGTATCTGAAGTGAATCATTAAAATTCTCGGCTGTATTTTGCTCAGATGGAGCATTCTCCAATTGGATATCCTCTATAGTGTCTTCTTCTATATTCTCCACAACATTAAATTCAGGAGTGCTGGTGTCCTTATCTATGAATGGATTAGTTAATTCTTGTTTCTTGATTTTAATCATTTCCTCAGATTGAATCAGTGCTTTACAGAAAAATCTTAAGTAATCCAAAGTAATAGGACCTTGATAATCAGATTTATACAATTTTTCTCCTTCATTGGTCACAATAATCGATGATCTTCTTCTACTACTTCTACCTGATTGCATTGGAGTTAATGATGTTCTCGATCTTGGAGTTAACGATCCTGATCGTATACTTGGTGTCAAAGATTTAGCTCTCCTTGGAGTGAGTGAGGTACGATTAGTTGGTGTAGATGGTTTGGTTCTACTTCTGCCCCTTTCACCTTGCAATGGTATGACATTTGTATCTTGTTGAAATAATTCCCGTGGGGGTAGATGAATATTGAAAATGGGTGTTCTTCGAAGTGCTGAATTCGGTAATGAATGTGAGTGTTCAGGGGATGTAACAGATGACAATGATGATGATGTTGTTGCTGTTTTTCTTTTTGGTGTCACTGGCTGAGACAAACTTCTATTCTTGTTGTGTTCTAGTAGTCCATCCATCCTTATCTTGTATGATATTGTTTGTTTTGGTTTGCGATTGATCAGTAGCATTTGTTTTTATTTTTTTTTTTTTTTTTGTCTCGATAGATGATTTTTGACCTTCACACACGCAACCATGTAACAGAATTTCAATGGTTCCAAAGGAATAGAGACTATCAACCAATTGCATTGATATTTCAGATGGCATTCTATTCAGTTGAGCCTCAAGTAATATTTAATCAACGATAGTGTTACCATATATAACTTTTATGTACTTTGTCTCAATTGTTCAGCAAACAAAAAAAAAAAAAATGCATATATTTAATATTCAACAAAAATACAACACCTTCGGTGCTATATAGAACACATCAATCATCAATCATCGGAATTTTACTTTTAGTTAAAAGAAATCTTCAAGAATAATGAAATCCGATCAATATTCGATGTCAGTAAGTGGTAAAACTTGTTTTATTAAGTGGATAATTAGTTGATCCTCAGAAAAAACGCTACCAGATGACTGAACACAGATTATTTGTAGTATATTTTTCTTCTAATATTATATCAAATCAAACAATAGTTAGCTGCATAGATGTGGAGACTTCATACTCTTAATGTCTCTGTTTTCTTGGTGAAATAAGTATTGTCGGTAACTATAAAAAGTAAAATATGTGAAACAAATTGTAAAGCTTGGAATTTGTATTTGAGGTTATTACATACATTCTAGCAGAACAACAGGTGGAGCATAGTCCACTTCATTATTTAATTCTTGGTGTATAATATTGATTAATATGTGTATCTCTATGAGAAATTCCAAACCAGATTAGAGGTAATACTAAGTTAGTTATCACTATTGTTCTAATAAAATCTTTGATTTAGAATTTCAAGCCATATCCATGAAATTTTAGTAACTATCAAAGGTGGTCAAATTCCATTCCTTGGTCAAGTAAAACATTTACTATTTTTGGTCAATTTGTCAAAATTCATAAAATCATTAATTATGTGTTTGAGATCAGGTTGACCAATAACTCTATTGTTGATAAAATTGCAACAATTAGCCAAATAAGTTTTTTTTCCTTTAGGTTATTGTTCACCAATTTTCATTAAATGGTACTTTTGGACAAATTTCTTAATTTGGTCAAATCTTTAGGTTTTTAATTTTATAGTGTTTGGCCAAATTTCGATAAATGTCACTTTCTACCAAATCATCGTATTTGGCCAAATTCATGTGTAATTGTGGTTTTACCGTTTTGTCTTGGGATTACATCCCTGAAACTACCATTACCTGAAAGATATGGTAAATTAACGTCACTCAAAATCAATTTCAATGTATTTGTTAGTGACATAGCATCAACTGTAGCCAAAACTTACTTTGGCGAAATCAAATCACATATTTTTTATCGGGAATTATGATTTGTATAAATTTATCAATAATTGTGTTATCTAGCTCTCTGAAAATTATATCTTCATTATATTCATATGTTCACCATTACATTTATGTACTTACATATTAATAATTCACAGTTTTGGTGTATGTAGTGTTTTCAAATGTGTACACAGTGATCTCAAGTGGCTTATTTCCGTAAATTTTATTTTGATTCAGACACGAAAATTGACTTGAATCTTATTTCACCATACAAAATGTAACAACTGTTATAATTTGACAAGTTAGATTAAATTGAAGAGAATAATGATGAGACTCACTATAAATATGAATCTTGTATAATAAGTGATTGGAAATACCAATATTTCCCACTTAAAATTATGATCAGATTAAACTTTTATATTGAGTGAATCGGGTTAGTAGATTTGGTATGCAGAGAGCATAGTTCATATTTTTGTAATGATACAGAAAAAATGAAAGCATTTTAGACACTCTTGAACAATTTCTTTTTGACATATTTTATCTAATCCATTTGAATACAATGGGAATCAATCAAGATAATCAGTTTGACGCAATTATGAATAAGGAAAGACACATAACAGTAGATTATAGTCATGAATTTGATGGCGGTAACTTATAAATCTACATTCCGAAAATAAATATATATATATTCAAATATTCCATCCTTGAAACCATATTTTTGAATGTCACTTTTTGTTGTACATCTATATGTTCCAGTAGTTGTGCCCTATATCTGTGTGTCACAATTATCCATACATTAAACCATTGATTTACATGTTCCTGATTTGGTGCGCATCTGTATGTAGATATTTTCCCTCCATTTATCCGTATATAGAAATGTTCCGTCCATATATCCATAGACATAAATGTCCATTCCATAGATCCATAGATTTGAATGTTCCAAATTTGAGGAACATTTGAATGTTCTAGAAAAAAGTGGCATTTATATTTCTGTTTTCTATGGTCGTCACAGCGCGACATGCAAATGTTCCACGATTTCCAACATTTGTCACTGTTAGTACGATTTTTGCACTTTTGAAAATGGTATACAATTCCCAGTAATAGATTATCTTATATATGTTCATTCTGGGTCATTTGGACAAATATTGGAGGAGTTATCTATTAATCTTACTCTTGGAATTTCAAACAATCTTTTTTTTATCGGGAATAATAATTTTTCTAAAAAACTCACTAAACATGAGGTTGGCCCCGTTGAAAATGGTTTGATTGTAATATCCATACAAATAAATACATATTTACATGCATTGGAGCTAGTGATCCCTATTGTTGGTGTGTCTGGTATTCCCAATGGGGTTCATTAGGGTCTTGATTGATTTATTCCCATGAAATTCAAATCGGTTCACGCACGAAAAAATCGCCAAAAATTACTTGAATCTCTTTTCCCCATACAAAAAGTGACGAATAGTACTTTTCAGTTATTTTGGTTGAAAACATGATTCATTATAGGTATTATGTACTCAACTCAAATATATAATAAACAGATAACATAATATATGGCTCTGGCAAGTACTAATAGTGGTATCAATGGAACAGAAGCCAAATTATAGACTATATATTTCATTCCTTTCGATATTTGAATTCTTTTTTTTTTCTTCAGATTCTTTCGTACGAACCATGGACCTAAATTCAAGAAGTTTCCCCACTTGCATGTCGAGAATAGGCTGAACATAACTAATAGCCAATTTAAATATGCAAATATTTGTAATGCTGATTCATTTCAAACCATCGACTACTAATACTTCATTCAAAAGGTAAATTTTTTCTTTCAAATCTACTTACAGTGCACCTCCTTTGGAAAATGAAGTACATACTGGATTTTTATACCGATACAGTATAGTTTCGTTAATTGCCGCTGATGTATATTTGTTACTATTTCATATGTAATGATAGTCTATAAGAGCATTCATAGTATTCCACTATATTGTTTATCGATATAATTGTTTTTGCCACTTTTCATGTTTTCAAATAACAAAAATATGATGGAAACTGTTACTAGCAAATTGTTGTTGCGAAATTTTGGAAGAACGGGTGAATTAATAAAGTTGCAGAAAACTTTTAAAAATAACCGAAATTGAGAAATCGTGGTATTCTTTTAAGATTGTTGAAAACTTCATTATGTTGCAGAAAAATGGCAACATCATAAGGTTGCCCAAAAGTTGCCAAAAGGTGATAAATAAGAAACTTCAGTAATTTTTAGAGAATTTCCAAAAATGCGACCACAGGAAATTATTTCCCTTATTTTGCAAACAAAAGAGATTTCATAAAGTTGCATATGTTTCGCTAGATCTATCGGTTCTAGCTTGATTCTTATCGCTTAAACAACATGATGTTATTTATATCACTGTTTAATACTACCACACTCAATCCTGAACTGATTGGCTAACAATTGGTGTAGTTATTTATCGATCTTACTCTTGGAATTTCAAAGTATCTTTTTATTATCGGGAATTATAATTTTTCCAAATAAGTCACTAATTGCAATATCCAGACCGCTCAAATTATATTCATTGGAATATTAATGTAGATTTAATCACATATATACTATTATCATATTCTATTTCCAGTTTTTAGACCATCTAGTATTCCCAAAGGGGTTCATCATGATCTCAAGTGGTTTATTCCCGTGATTTTAATTTTGGTTCACACACGAAAAAATACCAAAAATTGACATGAATCTCTTTTCCCCATACAAAATTCAACGCATGGTATATTTTCAGTTGTACTATAGTGATATCATCAATTTATTGTCACTTAAATCTATTGTGGAAGTCATCAAAGGTGAATACATTCGTCTAGTATTGTTTGAATATTCTCAAAAATACTAATTGTGCTAAACTTGTACATCTGTATCATTATAGCATTTTTATAATTTATTTCGAATTTTTTTGAATTTTGCAATTTTTTCGCGGTAATTGTCGACTAAAATTATAAAAGTATCGACTAGTTTACGTCGAGAGATAAATTTTCAAGGAACATCCCTTGAGATTTTCACCATTGAGACCCCATTTCTGCAAATCACTAGATAAGAAGAGAAAAACTCCATCAATTGCTATTATAACTACATAAAACTATTACTAATGCTGTTCAGGATTAATCACATACAGAATCCAATCGTACTTGTTATTGTAGTATGTTCGTTACTATTAATTCTATCTAAACCATACATTTTTAGTATGCACAATTTTTGCGCACTAGTATCAAAAATATTTACCGCCTTACTATGAACTTTTCTTTGCAAATAGTGCAAATAATTTTGACTCATTGATCTGAAAATTATACTCACACTAGAGTGCGAGATAAAACTGCAACGACTGTATTGAATGATCTGCTAGAGAGAAATTATTATTGAGGATGGTACACTACCTATATCAGTCGTGTAAAAGTGCACAAATACTATTTGATGTTATTTTTCAGCAGCATTCTCTCTCTCTCTTTCCAATCATTATTGGATTATAGCAATTTTGATTGCTTTAATTCACCAGTAACTTCTCTTCAATATCCCAATGCTTGAAAACAAACCATCAGCTTCACTTGGTGGTGATAGTCTACTTACAGCTTTAATATCAGCTACTACTGCATCTGCATTTGCAGCAACTGTTACATATCCATTTGATTTCATCAAGACTCAACAGCAATTAAATAATGAAAAAGTTTTAAAGAAATGGGATATTCCAGGGAATTATCCTACTTCTATAGCACAAATGTATAAAGGTGCAAGTGCATTAGTCTTAGGATCTGTTGTTAAAAATGCAACTAGAGTGATTGCATACAATTGGCTGACACGTTTTATGTCAATTGATACTAAAAATAATTCAAATAAAACAACAGCTCCAAGAATTGTAGTAGCTGGAGTTATGAGTGGATTTATTGAAACTTTATGGATAATTCCTTTTGAAAATGTTAAAATCACCATGATTCAAAATCAAACATTAGCTAATGAATTGAATAGATGTACAGCTTTAGGATATGATATAACTGGAAGAATAACCCATGGCTCTCATGGTCATCATAAACCAACAAAACCAATTTATTTAAGACAATATGTTTCTCCTCATGCTTATCTTTCAGAAGAAGTGATTAATCAATATTTAACACAGAAAGTAAAATTTGGTGGAGTGCTGGCTAGAAATAAACCATTTGAAGCATTGAAAGTTCAATATAATAAACATCCGTCATTGACATTATTTGGAACTGTAAAAGAAATGTATGAATTAAAGGGGATTAGAGCATTTACTGCAGGTACTTTTATTACATTTGTTAGACAAATTGGTGTTTCTTGGGTTTGGTTAGCTACTTATAATGCAACTCGTCAATTAATTAATCCAAATTCTGCACTGAATGATTGGTTTGGTGGTAAACATACAATGATTCAACTGGTTGGTTTACATTTCTTATCTTCTATGGCGGTTATTATGGTTACTCAACCTTTGGATGTTATAAAAACTCATTTACAACTGAAAAATGGTAAACAACTTTATCATGATTCATTAAATACTGCTTATAGATTGTTCTTACGACAGGGACCTTGGTCTTTATTTAAAGGTGCATTACCTAGATTTTTGAAAGTATTGGTCAGTGGTAGTGTCACTGCAACTGTATATGAATATGTCGAGAGATTGGTTACAGTAGCCGGTAGTCAACAAATATTCAGAGAATCATAGATTCGTCATCTTGTATGTATGTAAATATATATATATATATAAATTAATTCCAATTGATGTAGCGGTAATTTTCATATCATTCAATATAGACTGGAAGTAGCATTTCACCACTCTTGTGTACTACTCCGTTAAACGATTTTGCCAACATTCCTCCACTAAAACTTGGTTGACTAAATGCTATTTGATTTTTAGAAAGTATCACTCCATAAATTGAATGTTTCAAGATACATTGTAATAATTTCATGGCTAATCCATGTTGTCTCCATTTATTACAAATCCAAATTCTTGATATTCCAATAATAACATTTTTATTTATTTGTTTAGGAACAACCGTTTGAGATTTATGAATCATCCATCTACCTTGATTTGATCCTATAGTATCAGTTGTACATAACCCCACGGCTTTCCCTTCAATAATTAAAATAAATGCTTTACTTTTATCAAATTCTGATTTCTTCCATTGTCCAGAATCCTGACTTGCATTCAATTCTTGATTAACCATAGCTAAAACAGTATCTACTTTTTGGATATGTTTTTTATTTGTTTTATTGATTGTTATTATTGAACATTTGATAGAATTACGATTAGATCGTAGTTTTCCTGTTGTTGATCTTACAGCTGATGTCTTATCAATAATTATAAAATTTTCAAGCACTGAAATATCTTTATCATTAGTTGTATTCCACGGCACTCCATTAATAAATTTTGTATGATGTTTATTATGTAATGTTTTATCTTCATGAATATTAGGATTATAAGTCATTTCACATGTTGAACATGTTATTCTCTTTGAACTGGTGGGAATTGCTAATATCGATTGGATCATCTTTGGTTTCGGTTTATTCACACCTGTCATGGTGGTACAGTAATTAGATTCGTGATATCTCTTGTATCTGATAAAGAGACAGGAAAGAACATTCTTCCTATAGAATTATACAATTTTCTGTAGACGCGTGCATCGGAGAAAAGGGTGCGAGAGGACAAATTGGCCCACCTTCTTTCCTTCCTTCCAGCCGTTGGAAAATTCTCTCTCTCTGTCTCTCGAGCCAATTCGACGACGATACAAAAGAAAAATGTTTCATTGCTGATTTCACCCACATTTTAAAAATTTCATCAAGTTTGATTTCCCCAGATATCACAATTAGAGATTATATTTCACTAATTCTCTCTAGATAAACTTATTATTACTATTATATTATAAATTATGGCTTCAGAATATGCAAATTTGTTACCAGTTAGTGGTAATTGGAAACAAAAAATTACTGAATATTTAACTGAAGATGTTCCATCTTTTGATTTTGGTGGATTTGTCGTTGGTAATACTCCAGAAACTGGATCACTTTATATGAAACAATCAGGTGTTATTTGTGGTATTCCATTTATTAATGAAGTTTTCCATCAATGTAATTTACAACATAAATGGAATTTTAGTGAAGGTCAATATATTTCAGAAAATGAAATTTCTAATGCTGGTGGTAAAATTGTTGTTTGTAAAGTTAAAGGATCAGCTTCAAATATTTTATTAGCTGAAAGAACTGCTTTAAATTTATTATCTCGTGCATCTGGTGTTGCTACTCAATCATATTTAACTAAGAAATTGGCTGATGAAAGCGGTTATACTGGTATTATTGCCGGTACTAGAAAAACTACCCCGGGATTGAGACAATTGGAAAAATATGCCATGTTAGTTGGTGGTGTTGATACTCATAGATATGATTTAAGTTCCATGGTTATGTTAAAAGATAATCATATAATGTCTACTGGAAGTATCACTAAAGCTGTTAAGAAAGCCAAATCAGTTTGTGGATTTGCTGTTAAAGTAGAAGTTGAAGTTAGTAATGAAAAAGATGCTCAAGAAGCAATTGAAGCGGGTGCTGATGTTATCATGTTGGATAATTTCACCGGTGATGAATTACGTCAAGTTGCTCAATCATTAAAGAATAAATATCAAGGTACTAATAAAGCATTCCTTTTGGAATGTTCTGGTGGTTTAACTTTACAAAACTTGAGTTCTTATTTGAGTAATGATATTGATATATATTCTACTTCTTCTATTCATCAAGGTGTTAAAACCATTGATTTCTCATTGAAAATTGACGCTAAGTAATAATGACATCAATATATATATATACTATCTAATTGAAGATATACTTTTTAATTCTAGACTTTGAAACCCAGAGTTAAATCCAATTATACTTGACACATTGTTGATTATTTTCTGTGTTTCTTCAGTACTAGCACCACTTGTACCTTCTTCAGATTGTCTGTAATCAGTATCATCAATTCCATTCTGACCTTCTTCTTCTCCTTCTTCTTCTCCCCCCTCCTCCTCTAGTATATTTCCTCGATCTGTTATACCCAGTATTGTTCTATTATTCAACAGAAGTCCCGACATATTACTTGAACCTACCCCACCGGTAGCTAAACTTAAATCTCGAAGTAATTCAGAATGATGCAATGAATCATTATTACCGATATTATACTGTAAATCATTACTACCCATATTAGAACCACCAATTCCTGATACATTTGGTTTTTTACCAAAACATCTTATAGCTCGTATATGAGAATCTTTGCCTTCTTGATGATTAGCCAAAATGACAATTTTAATTAAAAAACATTTCAATACACTATCATTTCTAATACCATTAAATATAATATGAGACCAACCTATTGGTTGATCGAAATTAACAGTACAAACTTCAATTAAATCCCAACCTTCAGAACTACCAGCCAAAATTTTAATTTTTGATGGAGTATAACTTTCATCTAATGAATAATTAGTAAAAATAGATATTCTTTCAAGGGAAACTTTTTTAGAAAATTGTATTGTTATTGAATGAGGATTAGATAATTGATTTAATAACATACTATTATTTGGATTTTGTTGTTGTTGTTGTTGCTGTTGTTGTTGTTGTTGATTTGAATTATTATCTCCATTATTATGATTATTCCCACTATTACTTCCATCACTTTGCCAATAAGTATCAGGAGAATCATCTCTTAATTGTTTTAACCCATATCCTTGTTTCCAAGAACTTAATTTCCAATTAGCTAAAGGGGATAAATCAAACAATTGTAATGCTTCTAATTCTTGTAATCCTTTAATATAATAAACTCTTTGAATTTGTTCTAAACTTGGTTGAGGATGATCTATATTACTATTATTTATATTTGATGATCTATTACTTTGATCTTCTATAATTTGATCATCATCGTCATTTTCTTCATCATCTTCTGATCCTTCTTCTACACCTCCATCATTATCATCATCAAGACTCATTCCTGATTGTCTAATACGCATATTTCCTTCACTAAATCCTCCCTCTTCATCATCATCTTCATCATCATCATCTATATTAACATGATTAAAATTTAAATCTTCTCGAATACTTCCAAAATTACTATTTTCTTCATCAATAATATGAATTAAATGATTATGATGAAAATTTTGATCTGCTATTGTTCCTGTTCCTGTTCCTGTTGTTGTAGTAGTCGACAGTAAAATAGATTCTCTTATTTCATCTTGTGATAATTCTCGTTGTGATTGTACTTCATGTTGTGATCTATTTGGATTATTTGTTCCTTGTTGATCCCAATATCCTGATGAATCCATCCTTGTAATTAAAATATCCAGATTGATTTATTACAAGTTTTGAAAAAAATGCAACAATAGTCAAACACACACACACACACACACACACGCGTGAAGATAATGTATTGGCAGTATAGATTTTTTCTTTTTTAACATCACCAATTCTGGCGGTGATTGCACGACTTAATAATTAAAGTCATAAAAAGAATGATTGGTTTTTCAAATATGACAAGTGGCCTTCAAGGTTTTACTGTTAGAGATTCGTAAAGGGATAACAGGGATCTTAGTTCAAAATAAAATAAATAAATAAAAAAAATCAATCAATATAATATATGTCGTTAATTTATAAACCTAGGTGTATTTTACATTATACTATGAATTTAAGAAATCTCATTTTTTCTTTTTTATAATTCAACTTCTTTCAAACCATCAGTGACTTCTTTGGTTTCGTCTTTGTCTTCTTCTTTAGCTTCTTCCTTGTCTTCTGATTTGGTTTCTTCTTTGTCTTCTGGTTTATCTTCTTCTTCTTCTTCTTCTTCCTTGGTTTCATCATTGGCTGGTGTTTCTACTACTGCAACTTCTTCCTTTGAAACTTCAGCTGGAGCTTCTTCACTCTTGACTTCTTCAGCAGGTTCTTCTTCTTTCTTATCCTCTACTGGAGCTTGTTCCTTTTCTTCTACCTTAGCTTCTTCTTCTTTTTCTTTTTCTTTGACTTCTAGTTCTTCTTTGTTTTCATTTGTTTTCTTGTCAATGATGGTTTCTTTTGGAACTGTAAATGAGCTAGAAGAAGTATCAGCAGCGGCTAATGGACTAGAAACATTAGGTTTATTGATGCTTCCATTGGTAGTTGTCTTTTTCAAATTACTAGTAGAGACATTTCTTGATTGACTCAAAATTGGAGTGTGGGCGCCAGAATTGGTCTTTTGTTGTGATGGTGGAGGTGGTTGCTTTTTTGGTTGTCTCTGAGGAACAAAAGTGGTTTCAAAAGTTTCAGATAATCCATATTTCTTTAATGCTCTTCTTTTCAAAACCTCAATATAATTTAATCTACCTCTAAGTACATTTTTACCAAATTCTTGTCCATCTTTATCCCAATAACTCAACTCACCTTGGTCTTCATCTTCATCACCAATCATATAATCGCCATTTCTATCATTTGACAAGTATCCCAATTGTTCTTGATATTCACTAGAATCAATTTGGAAATTACCTTGCTCCAAATCAGTGACAAATCCAAAGATAAATTCTTGTAAACTAGAAGCAATGACTAATTTAGTATCAAAATCACGTCCAAACAATATAATTTGACCCCATTTACCATTTGGACCTGGTGAAAGATCCATAGCGATTTGGTTACCAATATTATCTTTCAACAATACAACCCAACCTTTATGATAATAATATGGTTGAATAGAATTTGGAGGCACGGATCTTTGGTTAGCAATAAATGAATTATTAATAGGACCATTGGTAGTATTACTATTGCTACTACTACTACTACTTCCTTCTTTAGCAGCACTTTGTTGCCTTTGTTGATGTTGAGCCATATAATATTGAGTTTCTAATCTTTCAGCAACTTTAGTCCACAACATTTTTTCTTCAATGATAGCTTCTAAATCTAACAAAACCAAACCCATAATTAAACCTGTAGGTTTTCCACCTCTTAATTGACCATCATGACGTTTATAAAATTCTCGGAAATCATCAGGTAAATTTTTAGAATTGCCAATCTGTAAATCTTGAATAAATTCATTTAAATCAGCAGTGGTAACACCATCATTTAAGTTATCTTCCAATTCAGGATATTCTTGTTCAATCCAATACTCAATTCTATCCCATAATGAATCAATAGATGGCAATGGAGGTTGGCCATCAGAACTAAGATTTTGTAATGGTAAATCTTGTTGAGACGATTTCATACCTGGTCTATAAAATCCAGCACTTGCAGAAGGATTTTCCAATGAATATTGAGAACCATTCAAATCGTTATTTAATCGAATACTGGAACCATTACCAAGGGAACCTTGAGGATTGGTTGTATCATTGCTTGAACTGTTTCTATATGGAGAATCATATGAGGCATAATGGTCATCAGTTGTGATTGAATGAACAAATGCCTTAAAACTATCTAATAATCCCATCTTGATATATATATATGGATACTAGTTTAGATGAACAAAACGAAGAAGGTCCAGCTTTGGAGTGGAATAGGTAGTAAAATACTTAAAATTGATATTTGCCCTTTCAAAAAATTGAAACTGAAAATGAAATCTAAAGTTGTTGGTTATTGGTTAATTGATTGTGATGATTAGCTAATCTGTGTCTAAATGAGTTTATACAAAGAAAATTATTCCTTTTTTTTATTTAGTTAGCCTTTATCCTTTTGTTTTATGTTTGTTTATAGTTTCCTTTTCGTGGATTTGGAGAAACAAAGAGCAAAAATAAAAATAAAAAAAAATGGCTTGATGGATTGAGTGAAAGAATTTCTCTCTTTCGTCGATCGCCAAATTTTTATATAATTTTTTTTTTTACGTGATTTGTTTTTTTTGTTTTTGTTTCTCCGGCGAGCAACGCCTGAAATTTGGAATTTCTTCGTTCGCCCGCCCCGCCCCCCAGCAATAACCTGCGTATTGCAGTCACGTGTAGGCGCATGCATGATGTGTTTCTCCTGCATATACAGGAACGCGCTGGTTGTTATCACGTGTGTGTGATCACGATGCAGAAACTTTTACCGAAATTGAATATATATATATATATGCATTTAATATTATACTAAAATATACATAAACCTAATAAAATGCCCAATAAAAAGAGTTCGAATAAAAAAAAAAAAAATAAAAAAAAAAGCATACTGCAAAACTTGTTTATAGATGAATGAAAAACCACCTCTTTCAATTTAGTTTGTTGCGAATAAATACCCAGCTATGCTGTCTCCAAAAAGGCTTTCTATCAACTGTCTATCGTTTAAATCCGTAATTTTAATACAATCCTGAACTAAATCATAATTTATTTCTTCAGAGACCTTTGAATCATGGTTATATTGTTCATGGTTTGTCACCTTGTTTCTAATCCAATGTGCAGTTGTTGGAATTTCACCACTGGCTCTTGCGGCAATCAAGTACAAGTAGTATCTCAATGTTATAACGTCTTCAATTAAGTTCTCCTTGGAAGTTGTCTTCAAAGCTTGAGGAATTAACTCTGTTGCAAGTAATTTAATAACTAACTTGATCAACCCTGGGAATTTCGCACATCCGTTTATGATTCGACAAATCGAATATCTTTGATCGATTCCATGATCATCAACATCATTGATTTCTTCAACAGTTTTCCCGTCACATCCTCTTGGTAATTTAGATCCATTTAATACACTACCATTGGCACCATTGGCACCATTGGCACCGTTGGTGTTACCATTGAGATGGGTACCATTACCATTTTGATTATCATCTTCAGTCAAGAATCTATCAAACCATTCAAGTCCATAATCGTTAAATTCAGACGAATCGATGTTCCATAAATCAAATGATCTAAACCAGAATTTATCATTCAAAACAGAGTCAACTTTATGTGCCAATTTCATGTTCAATTCAACTTTCAGCAATGGGATATAGAAATTAGGCTTGTATTTCAAAATAGCCTTAGATAACAAAGCAATAAAAGTAGAATAAGCAGCATTCTCAAAATCAGTCAATTGAATTTCCATTGGTCTGAATTCTACTCTCCATCCAGGTTTGTTTTGTAAATTGGTATCCTTTGTGTATAAAGCCGGAGGTTTGAATCTCAAAGTTTGCCAATTGGTACTTTGAATATTCTCAAAATGATCATTTTCCAATTCATTATCTTGATCAATTCTTTCGTTGAAAATAACCAATGGATCACGAATAAACAAATGAGCAAAATGATTAGCCAAATACTTATCTAATTTACCTTCATTTATTAAACGTTGATAAACTTTTTCATTTATTGGAGCATTCAAATCGTTGTAGCCATCTTGGAAATACTTTGTGTCATAGTTGTTATCATTCAAGTAGTTATCAACGGAATCATATCTTGATTTTGGTACTTTTTGAATTGGTTTGCCATCCTTGGTGTGCAAATCCATTAAATCGCCTTGTTGATTAATTCTATGTGTATTAATAGTCAAGTCATCATTCACATCGATATCTAAACCACCAAACAAATGGTAATCTTGGTATGGTTCCTGACCTTTTTCAATAAATGTACGATCATCAACCGCTCCACTAACAACATTCCAACGAACATCTTGGTCAACCAAGAATCCTTTGAAAATAGGAGCAGCAGCTGATAAACTCAACATAATAGGAGCAAGTGGAGCTAAAGTATCGTAAAGATATCTTGCTTCGCTGATATTCTTGGTTTGCATGGTGATTTGTAAACAACTTGAACCCATACCAAATCCCATGGAATCCATATAGACATATCCTGGTTTTGAAGCCCCGATCCATGGTTCCTTATCACTATCAAACAACTTTCTATCCTTTGGAATGGAATCATCCACCAATTTCGTAAATTTGTCAGGATACATTGGTAAATTAATGGAAACTTTGTGACCTTTTCTTCTTCTGATATTAGCAGTTAATGTGGGGAAACGAGCATGACGATTAATGATTTCATCAGGTAAAAACAATGATTGAGAAGCTGGTCCATTTGCTTTAGCTGGAGGAGAAGTGAAAATATTACATCCCATACGTGGGAAACTTGTCAATGTCAATAACTTGATGGAAGAAGGCAAGTTATCTTGGCAAACATCACGTCTATCCTTCATATTTTTTTCAACATATAAATAGTCCAGTAATGAGTTACCATCATAAGGTCTTGCAGGAGTAGATTCAATCATAAACCTACCATATTCAGGATGATAACTGACATTTTTTGCATCAGCCACAGGTAATAATTTATCAGGATCATTCAAGTCATTTATGATATAATCCTTATCGATGGATAATCTTGCGGTATGATCATCTTGATTAACATCCACAAGCATGTATTCGACTTCATCACCCCATAAAAACACATCATTTTCCCTCTTACCATGTTGGTTAAAGATATTAATCAATTGAGTAATACCATTGGTTCTAACATGTTCGTTGAGTTTCTTTGACTCATCCCAACTTAAAGGTGTACCAAGTGACAACAAACCCATTCTTTAATGAAGGCAGTATATTTAGATAGATAGTATTGATAGCAAGAAATATACACCAAAACAAGAAGAACCACTTGTTATTAAGAAAGAAAGAAAGAAAGAAAGAAAGAAAGAAGGTTCAAGGGTTGGTTATATTATTGAAAATAGAAAAGTAATATTTCAACTAAAAAAAAAAAAAAAAAAAATTGGAAAAATTTCTTTTTTCCCACTATGGGCGCTTGATTTGTAATCAGTGCAAATACTTTTGTCTTCCCACACCGCTGGTTATCTTGCATTATGCGGGTATTAGACTGAGACACAGAGTCAAAACTATTTGGTGTGCCCACAACAATTAAAAAATAAATTATATTCACTATGCAATTTCCCAATTGGGATTACTTACCCGTGAAACTATGTGAGAGATGAGATTGCGGAAATTATACTAACAATTAAGCGAATGGGATAATTAGATAGAGAGACGGTCGGAATAGCAATTATATCGGTTGCTGAACGACAGAGTAACAACAGAAATTAAATCATCCCCTGTCTTCTTATGATAATACTAGGTTGTTGTTATTATACCAGCTACCAAAGAATAGTAATCGTATGTTACAGTAATTGTACAGGGCTCACAAGCTGTGGATTATCATTAAAGTTAATTAATAATAGCCAAGCAAGAAGAAGAAGAAGAAGAGGAAGAAGAAGAAATGTGCACTTTATTTCATCATTTATACGGGGATTATCAAAGCACACATGACATTGCACCATTCTTCTTCTTCTGCTTCTCACAACCAACTAAAAAAAAAAGGAGTAAGTTAACATGCAGTATGAGTGAACTAAAATGTATGAGATTTATACTACAGAGGATGATGTTGGAACTCTATGAAATCACAAAGTCTCTATTATTCATGACATTCATAACGAACAGTTTGACATATTCTGACCAATTGCTATTATCGTATTAATGTCAAACGGCAATCCAATCCAACCATCAAGAAAAAAAAAAAATAGCTGCAAAAATAAACAATAATTATAATAAATAATAAAGTATAAAACACCCACATGGGTCAAGGTACTACAAACACGTTGTATTATTTCATTTATTTTATATTTATTTATAACCTTATATACTTAAATCGTAATAACTAACATACTTCGTCTCTCTGCAATTATCCTACTCCTCTAATATAAACCATCAACGTTGTCAACAACACATCCTGGTTCATTTTCTTTTCTTTCAACTAATTCCCCAATAACAACAGCATCTTTTTCTCCAGATTCTTCTAAACTCTTCAATACTTTATCGACATTTTCTTTTTCAACAATTAAAACCATACCAATACCCAAGTTAAAAGTCTTCAAGATATCATTGTATGGAACTTTACCTTGTTTACCAAACCATTTGAAAATTTCTGGAACTTCCCAATTCTTCATATCAACTTTAGCTTGTAAATGTTTTGGTAAAGCACGAGGAATATTTTCAACTAAACCACCACCAGTAATATGAGCTAAACCTAATAATAAACCTTGATTTATACTTGGCAATAATTGTTTAACGTAAATTCTGGTTGGAATCAAAACTTCTTGACCAATAGTAGAACCTTGTTTCCATGGAGCTGGTGATTGATATTCATATTCACTGATTTCAATAATCTTACGAACTAATGAGAAACCATTAGAGTGGATACCATCTGATCTTAAACCAATCAAAACATTTCCTGATTTCATATTGTTGATTTGTGGTAAAATCTTGTTTTTCAAAACAGCACCAACAGCAGTACCATTAGTATCATAATGACCTTCATCGTACATACCTGGCATTTCAGAGGTTTCACCACCAACTAAAGCACAACCAGCTTGTTTACAACCATTGGCAACACCTTCAACGAATTGTGCAGCAATTTCAATATCTAATTTACCAGTGGCAAAATAATCCAAGAAAATCAATGGTTCCGCACCTTGAACAACCAAATCATTGACATTCATAGCAACTAAATCAATACCAACAGTGTTGTGAATATCCATAATTTGAGCAATTCTTAATTTGGTACCAACACCATCAGTAGCAGCAACTAATAAAGTATCATCGGTGTTATAACCAGCAGCTTTCAAATCAAATAAACCACCAAATCCACCAATATCAGAATCAGCACCAGATCTAGAAGTAGATTTGACCATAGCTTTAATGTTTTCAACAAACAAGTTACCATTGTCAACAGAAACACCAGAATCGGCATAAGTGACACCACCAGCAGCAGCAGTTTTATCAGCATCACGGAATGCACGATGAGCAATATCTTTTCTGTTGTATTTCTTGTTGAATGAAACATGATCATTGACACCAACATAGGCTTTATCAACGGATTGTCTTAAAGTTTCCGCAATGGCAGTGGAAGCAATAACTCTACCACCAGCAGTGACAATTTTACCTTCATCGTTTAAAGCAGTACCAGCATGGAAAATAAAAGTGTTTTCTGGTAATGGTTTTTTGATGGTAATTTCATCACCTTTACCATAAGCTTCTGGGTAACCACCAGCAGCCATGACAACAGTGGTTGAGTATAATGGTTTAGTGGCAATGTTGACAGAATCTAATCTGTGTTGAGCAGCAGCTAACATGACTTGAGCCAAATCAGTATCATCAGATAATAATGGCAAAACAGTTTGAGTTTCTGGATCACCGAATCTAACGTTATATTCTAAAACTTTTGGTTCTTTGGTTGGGGACAACATGATACCAGTGAATAAAACACCACACATTGGGAAACCATCTTTTCTCATACCATCAATGGTTGGTTTAATGATTTGTTCATTAATTTTCTTTAAAACATCTTGAGTAGCAATTGGAGCTGGAGCATAAGCACCCATACCACCAGTGTTTAAACCTTTATCACCATCACCAATTCTCTTGTGATCTTGAGCTGCTGGTAAGTTATAGAAAGAATAACCATCAGTAATAGTCAATATACTCAATTCATCACCTTCCAAAAATTCTTCAATGACAATTTCATTACCAGCATCACCAAAGTTTTTATCAACCATGATTTCATTTAATCCTTGTAAAGCTTCTTCTTTAGTTTCTGGAATCAAAACACCTTTACCAGCAGCAATACCATCTGCTTTTAAAACAATTTTATAATCGATTTTTTCAATATGTTCTTTAGCTTTATTAACATCAGTGAAATTTTGGAATCTTGCAGTTGGAATGTTATGTTTATCCA